AAATGATCCACAGCAGGTTTGATCCCATACCAAGCTTCATAGGGAGTTTGGTTGATCAAGGCTTTTGTGGGAAGCCTATTTAATAAATAAACTGCAGTGTTCACAGCCTACCCAAAAACTTTTAAGTAGTTTCTTCTCAGCAACATGCATTTCCTATCTCCACAACGGTTCTATTCCTCCTCTCACTTACTCCATTCTGCTGTGGAGTATAAGGACGTTGAATTGGTGCTTGATTCCTGCCTCTATGCAGATTGTTTCAAACTCTTTGATGTGTACTCACTCCATTGTCACTCCTCACCTTTTGATACTCAAACCAGTTTGGTTTTCAACCAACTGCTTAAACCTTCCAAAAACTCCAGCTACTTCATTTTTTTGCTTCAAGAATACACCCAACACATTTAGTTTTATCGTCAATGAACAATCAAAATAACAACTCCCATTCAAGGAAGGCATTTGCATAGGGCAAATACGTCTGTGTGAATGAGTTGGAGTTTTTCTGAAGCCTCCTAGCTTGGTTCATGGGAAGGATGGTGCTCAGCTTGCCAAGATGACATGCATGACATCAGGTGTTAACTTCATCCATTTCAGGCAGGTTCAGAACCATCTGTTGGTCTGAGCTTGCTTGAGACCGTGATAGTGATAATGGCCAAAACGTTTGTGCCATATTTCAGACTTATCAGTTAGCACTATGAGCTCTGAATTCTGAATTTTTCCAGTCAATGGGAAAGCTTTTCCCATCATTCTAACTCTCATGAGTTCACTACCCTATATCTAATATTACAAGATTGATCCTGAAAATGTAGGACATATTCTCTCTAACATTGTCCTACACTAAGTAAACTTTGATTTAACGGAAACTAAAGCACATAAGAAATCAGTTATTACCTGATTGAGTTTGCACAGCCACACACCTCTCCCTTTAACATCCACCAATTCTCCATTCCTTATCTTGACTTTGGATTGAAATGCCATGTCCAAGCGATGAAGCTTTGCAAATTTGGGTCATATGACTTGTGCATCCACTGTCAATCAACCAGGTTTCATTGCATAAGAGTCAGACCCGCGGATGCCACAAATAACTGCTCAGCTTCCTGCCCTTGCAGCAAATTTTCAACAATCTGTGCTTCTGCTGAGAGGATTCCCTTTATTTTACAAAACTTTCTCTATATGGCCAAATGTTTTCAAGCTCTACACTGAATTCCTGGTCTGAACCAACACCGTTTTTCTGAGTGTCCCTTCTTCTTACAGTGGGAACATGGTGGATACTCTCTTTATCCCACCATGTTTATTCCACGGCATAACTTCTTTTTCCCTTCTTTCTCTTGCATTTCTTTTATTTCCAGCATGCACAGACTTTCCTATGTGTTGCAACCATAGCACCTTCACTGCGTCTCAACCTTAAAAGCCTCCTTTGTTCTTGAGCTTGTAAAGAATGGACCAGCTCAGTTAGAGTTATTTGAGGCAGGTCTTTAGAATCCTCAAGAGAGGAGATTAGCCTCAAACCTTTCAGGTAGGCGTACTAACACTTTCTCCACAATTCTTATCCGTCATCCACCCCAAGCCATCTGATTTTATAAAACACTCATTAATCTATCAACATACTCCCTTACCTTCTCAGTTTCTTGCATTTTCGCAACTCAAATTCTCTTCTCAGGTTCAACACCTGCATGCCCCGTTGTATCACTACGTATACTCTTCTCTCAACTTATCCATGCTTCTTTGGTGTTTTCATACGCCATGATCCTGTGAATACAAGGGTCAGTTACTGCTGGATGAATGTGAGAGAGAGCTCTTGGTGCTTTGGCAGCCTTCTTCATGCATCCTGATTTGATTCAGGGTGGGATTTGGTCCCAATGGAGGCAGTTGACGGTTCTCTTCCACGTACTGCCACAGACCTGTCCACGAAGGAATGCTTCATCTTGATGCCTACATTGGTATTGATCGCCATTAAAGACTGGAGGGTGTGAGAGAGACTGGAGGTTGTGCCATTGAAACTGAATATTTTGAGTTTAACAAAAAGAGTAACGAAACTGGGGTTGAAAGTGCGAAGAAAGAGGATTAATTATCAGGCTCTCTAAGATCACTTAAAGCTTTGATACCAATTGATAGTTTTTGCATGCAAACGAAAGAGAAAAAACAGAAAACGAAAGAGAAACTCAAGATGCAATAATGCTCTGTTTTTATTCAAAAACAGGGGTAAAAATATAACACGCCAACGTACTGTTTCAACTAAAACAATTCAAAATTCAAATTTAAACTAACTCCACCTACTAAACATGTACAAGCAAGTGAGAAACTACATTAACCAAACTTAAACACCTAAACAAGTCACTGAACAAATCAAACACAGTGACCAAAAAAAACTGCTTGCATGAAACGAGAGATCAACAGGCATTAAACTTCGTTCAAAAAATCTGCACCTTTCTGCATTTCCAACATGATATCACTTTTCAACACTTTCAAACTATATTAGTAGTCATTAATAGCTTATAGTACCCAGCCAAGAGAAGCATATGACATTCTATCAATTTAATTGGTAATACTTAACCTCACTTTATCCCACCCAACCCAAACTGAAAAAGATTCAAACAAGATACTAGTTTCCAGTTTTTATGATAATTGAGGATAAGCAGCATGACAAACATGACTCATTCTTTGGATTTTACTCAATGGTTAGGAATCAGGGGAGAAGAAATCAAAATCCATGGTGGATTTTGGAGATGAAGATACAAAACAGATGCTTTGCGTTGATGGGGCAGCAATTGAAAAACCAATCACTTTGAAGCCAGGTGAAGAATAGACAGGGCGGTTGGAACTTTCTGTAGTCCCTCAAGTGATCAAGGGTCCTATTGCAAGTTCCTCGAAGATTAAACACAAATGATACGAATAAATTACTCGAAATCTGGCATTGATGTTGGTATAATTTCAGTATTTTGATGAGAAACAAATAAGAGACCATTAATCTGATAAATTACTGTCATGATGACAAAAAGATAGTTCCTGTAAGGGAAGTGGAGATAACTGTTTTATTGTATCTCCTTTGTAACAAAACTTCAAATGTATACGCATTATTTTTGGTTTAATTCATCCATGATAAAAGTGATTGCACATGTTGAAGCAGGACCTGTTTTTTCTCTTTTTTTTTTTTTTTTTTCAGTAAATCCTTTTTAATAAACTGATAGGTCTAACTCATTATATAGAAGAGGAATCTCATATTCCTCAGACCACCGTCAACAAATCATGCAGAACTGAAAAAAAAATAAAAAAATAAATAATAATAATGGACAGGAAAGCTACTCTTTTATCAGAGCCAGGTTTCGATCCTGGGACCTGTGGGTTATGGGCCCACCACGCTTCCGCTGCGCACTCTGATTTGTTGTTAGTTTGTGCATCAGCAATATATCGAACCGACAGTTTTGCAAGGTTGGTTGTATTAAGTATATAGTTCAATTTAGAATCATCACATGCAGAACATAATTATCATAGTTGTTGGGTCTATGATTAAATTGAATTGAATTGATTCTTTCATTATTAACTTGGTAATAAAATCATAGCAGGAAGTAAATTTTATGCCAAAACCACATTGAATCAATCCCTTCCTGACCACACAAAAATTTGTCTTGGAAATCAAACCATTACAAACCTCTACACTAAATAACCCAAAAAAGGAAGAAAAATTATATTCCATAAATACAACATAATATATCCAAAATTGACCAAATGTTGAGGATAATGTCCATGTCAATGCTATATCAATATTCCCCATCTAAAATGGAAGAGACCAAATTTGATAATTCAAATGACAATAATAGTTGTTGAGCTAATGGTAGAACTAATGGGAGACACTTGCATATGATATTCTACCTAATTGGTCTGCTCCCATAGATGTCAAATTGCTCAAACTTATCCTTATACCTCCTGAACAAACAAATTTCATCAGTCACCGACATTCAAGTACTTGCAACACTTTGGTAGGGTTTTAAGAAAAACCACTAAAGGAAAGTAGGTGTACAAAAACTGGACATAGGTTTTTTGACACTTGTCATAATATCAGCTAATGGCTTCCCTTCCATTAGCTACTACTTGTCCATATCTTTTCAATCTTCGACCAATCTTCTTAGACAGCAAGGTCCACTGCCTTTAAGTCAATTTTGTATAGAGCCATCAAAGTGAAAATGTTAGTTAAAAGTTGGTTGAGCATGATTTGGACTTTGCATTATAGCTTCGAGGCTTAGAATTTATAAAACATTCATCGACCTTAATCAAGTTATCAAACCTCCTTTAATTCAAGGATCAAATATTCTAAAGACCATTATTTTCCCTTTTTTCAAAGATTGTAAGTTTCAAATAAAGTGGGGAACTTCTGGATTTTTAAGAGGTTTCAATTTTGAATTAGGGTTTGCAAAGTAGAGTGAGAAAGTTTTGGATGATAAAAAAAGAAAAGAAAAAACATAAGCTGTTACATATAATGTTTGTATTTGTATTGCAAAAGGTTGACAACGGGAGAGGACAAAAGGTTGTTTGCTAGCATATCCAATCCAACGGCCTAACTCTCTCACTGAAATTTCAAACCCCAGAATTAACGGCCACAGATAGCCCATCACAGGTAGATTCCTGAGAAAACAAAACCAAGCCCCACCACTGCTTTGTAGGCATCGTAAAGTAACAACCGAACAGAATAAAAGCGATCCAAAAAAGCCCACGACCATAACTATATAAGTCTATGAGCCCATGTTCAATTTTACATAGAATTTAATGATAGCCCCCACATGTCAATCTCAGGATCATGCCCCGTCACACAACAATCTCACTCTAATCCCAACACTACCACTAGTTACGTGGTTTTCCCGTTCCCTACTTGCTACTCTCTTGCTAAAGCCTAGCTTTTTTCAGTTACTGTAAACCAAGAAAAATAGCCGTTAATTGGCGTTAATTATTGAGTGAAAATAAAGAAGGGATACCCATCACATTATTTTCAATTGTTTGGTTAGGTACTGAAAGTTTTCCTGAGAAATTATTAGTGTTTTCTTGCTTTTTTGAGCACTTTTTGAACGAGAACTATTTAAGTTGGATGCCGTTTTACTTTTTTAGGCAGAGAAATCATAACTTGTACGTGTTCACATCTCTTTTTGAGTGACTATTTTGTTCACATTTTAGTATATTGAGTTGGGTTTTTTTCGTTTTTCTGAATTGAAGCAGTGGTGAAGCCTTGAAGAAAGCAAAAGGAGTGTTTGTTTTTGTTCAGATCTGGTGCACAGTGAGTGGTTAATTAATATTTTACTAGTTAATTCTTGGCTTCACCGCTTCAAATTTCAACTAAAATGTTTAAGAAACAACTACAAATAACCAAAAAGAAGCTCGATTTCAGGTTTTGCTTTTATAATAATTTAAATTTGTGAGGACACTTTTTGACTAAAAATATTCAAAGCCTGCAAGCTCTTTTTTTAATGTAAAAATGTACAGTCTCACCTCAATTTTAATCGACAATGATCTAGGAATCTGCTTTTCTCTTTTCCTTACATTCTGTTTTCTCTTTTTTTTTTGTTTAGTTATTTCAAATTTGTTTTTTATTTTTATTATTATTTAATTATTTGCTTTTGTCTCTATTTCTTCAGCTTAAACCCACAAATGTGTTGTGAACGCCTGAAACTGGCAAAAACAGCTCGTTTTTAGCTTGTTATCAGAGAGCAGGTGAAGAAAAATGGAAGCTTTATACATTTTCACTTGGATTTTGCATCTGGTTTTGATTGTCTCTCAAGTAAGTTCAGAGCCATTTGAAGATAAGCAGGCTCTGCTAGATTTTGTTAACAATTTGCCACACTTTCGTTCGCTAAACTGGAACGAGAGCTCTCCAGTGTGTAATAACTGGACCGGAGTGAAATGTAGCGGAGATGGATCGCGTATATTAGCCGTTAGATTGCCTGGTGTTGGATTTAGCGGTCAGATTCCACCTAACACCATCAGTCGTTTATCAGCTTTGAAGATTTTGAGTCTCAGATCGAATATTATTAGTGGGTATTTCCCTTCTGATTTTGTTAACTTGAGAAGCTTGTGTTATCTTTATCTACAGTTTAATAATTTCTCTGGTCCATTGCCGGATTTTTCCGTTTGGAAGAATCTCACCATTGTTAATTTGTCTAACAATGGGTTTAATGGAACCATTCCTCATTCATTGTTGAATTTGACTCAACTTCAAGCTTTATATCTTGCAAACAATTCGTTATCTGGTGAAATTCCTGATCTTAAATTGCCCAGCTTGCAGCAGCTGAATTTGTCTAACAACAATCTCAGTGGTTCTATCCCAGAATCACTTAAAAAGTTCCCAACTTCTGTCTTTGGTGGGAACAACATTACTTTTGATGAAAGTTCAGCTCCTAGAGCTTCACCTGATGTTGCACCGTCCAGTGAATCTAATTTGAGGCCTAAGAATGGCAGGAGAATTGGTGAAACTGCTTTGTTAGGAATTATAATCGCAGCTGCTGTTTTAGGGCTTTTGGCATTTGTGTTTCTGATAATTGCTTGTCGTGTAAGAAGAAAGAGGGAGGATGGATTTGTGGGCACATTACAAAAGAGAGAAATGTCACCAGAGAAAATGGTTTCCAGGAATCAAGATGCAAGTAATAGGCTATTTTTCTTTGAGGGTTGTAATTATGCATTTGATTTGGAGGATTTGTTGAGGGCTTCTGCTGAGGTTTTGGGGAAGGGAACCTTTGGCATGGCTTATAAAGCGATTCTGGAGGATGCAACCACAGTGGTAGTGAAGAGATTGAAAGAAGTTAATGTTGGGAAACGAGATTTCGAGCAGCAGATGGAGATTGTTGGAAATATTAGGCATGAGAATGTGGTTGAGCTGAAGGCCTATTACTATTCCAAAGATGAGAAGCTGATGGTGTATGATTATTTCAGTCAGGGAAGCGTCTCTTCTATGCTACATGGTATGCCACTCTGCTCAATCTCTGCCTTTTCTATATGATGCATAATTAGTTTCAGTTCTATTTTTCCTCTTCTTTTCAAGTCCTTGAAAAAGTACAATTTTTAGCTGATAGTTGTAATTTGGTCCTGGAAGCTAAATTCACATAGATGACCAAAATGTGGTATCATTTCCGCAAAAGAAGGTTTTACTGGAGTTTGCTTATAGCTGTGATCTTCTATGTGAACACATTTGATTCCTTAACTGTGGATAAATTAACTAGAAGTGGTGTTGGTTTAATTTTGCATAATATGTTGCAGTTATGTATAATATATAATGTGCTAATTCCAGACTTGTCCATAGTTCTAGCGAAAGGAAAAGTAGCTATATCTCTTTTGACTGGCGTATGGTCTTAAGTTGATTGAAGCATGATTTTCTTGGCTCTGCTTGACTTTGGCATATGTTTAAGTTTTCATAGAAAAAATTAAATGAAGTTCAATACTTTTTTACTATGACAGATATTAGAATTTACTTCCTAATGAGGCTTTAGTTGATACCTGTGCAGCTTTCAAAATGTTTAAATTTAAATGCTTGCTACTGAATTGTGGTACTAACCTTGGTATTGGGTGTTTAAAGTGCAAAGATTGGGCCCGAGTGTGAATGCTAACCCTTTCCTACAACCTCTTATTAGTTGGTTTTGTATGTTCAGTTCTAGACACTTACAACAATGTATTTGTTGAAAGTGAGAGTTAAAAGAGTTGCAAATAGGGTTCTAAAAAATGATAGCTGGATTTGTGAAGTTACTGTTTTTAAGTGCTATTTTACTAGTTTCTAACATTTGTATGATGTAATTCAATTTATTTATCAACAACAGTATCTGTGATATTTGAATTAGTAGTTGTTTGATGGTGAGACATTCAAACTTGGTTCCTTATATTCCCAATAAAGTAAAAGGTTCATCTTTATTTTTCAGGCTACATTCTACATGTGTGTGTGTGTGTGTGTGTGTGTGTTATTATTTGTTTTGTCAAAAGAGATACAGACTATTGAAAGCCTTTAACCAACCATATAACTATTGCTATGGGAAACATGACCAAGCAAGTATAGACTCACTTTGCTGACTTTAAGATGAACTCTTGAACTAGGTCTGCGACTCAATCTAACTGCACTTCTCCTTCTGCAAACCTTCATGAGTTACAATTAGTCCTTTAATTCCATATTTTCAAGTTGCAATGCAAACATTATTTCGATGAAAGAGAAAGAGTTCTCTGATGCGGAATGTCAATTTTACTTTGATTTCTCATCTAGAAATGTAATACCCTGCTCTTCTGTACCTCATATATAAGTTATAACCCTATTTTTCTTCCCTGACATCTTTACCTATGGACAAACTATGCAATGGTTGCTTAGTCTTTTAACTCCATAATCTCTAACCTTATAGTTTGGATTTCTAAAAATGATCAAACACTGTTGAGTTTATTCATCCTCTAATACTTCTATAAATTTTCAGGTAAGAGAGGAGAAGGTAAGATCCCTCTAGATTGGGATACTCGAATAAGAATAGCTATAGGTACAGCAAGAGGCATTGCCCGTATCCACGCAGAAACTGGTGGTAAGCTTGTACATGGCAACATCAAGTCCTCAAACATCTTTCTCAACTCCCAACAGTATGGTTGTGTGTCTGATCTTGGTCTGACAACTATTACAAACTCACTAGCCCCAGTTATTTCCCGTGCTGCCGGTTATCGAGCCCCTGAAGTGACAGATACTCGTAAAGCAGCACAGCCTTCTGATGTCTACAGCTTTGGTGTAGTGTTGCTAGAGCTCCTCACAGGAAAATCCCCAATACATACTACTGGTGGAGATGAACTTGTCCATTTGGTCAGATGGGTTCATTCTGTAGTTAGGGAGGAGTGGACAGCAGAAGTGTTCGATGTAGAGCTGTTGAGGTATCCTAATATAGAGGAAGAGATGGTTGAGATGTTACAGATAGCGCTAGCTTGTGTGGTAAGGATGCCTGATCAAAGACCAAAAATGCCAGAAGTCGTCAAAATGATAGAAAATGTGAGGCGGATTGATGCTGAGAATCGGCCTTCTTCTGAAAACAAATCTGAAAGTTCAACACCACCTCCACCGGTTGTTGCTGAGAACTAACTCTAATTCTAGAGTGAGTGAGTGAACCATTAGACTATCTTTTCTTTTCTTTTCTTTTCTTTTCTTTTTTAATTTTTTGCCAGTTCTGGTGGTATATTTTCATTTCATTGATGGTGTATTGTCATTTCAATTCATCTTAAATTATTGTTTTGCCCATTTCATTGAACAAATTCTGATAGATCTTTTAGCAACCTGATCCAAGGTAGAGTTAGTTCAAGTTATGGACAGACATAATCTTATATTATAATTTATAAACATTAGTTTAAGCATTGGTTACACATTAAATTTATGATCCTCAAATTGTAATAAAGAGAATGCATCTTATCATATCATTATCTTCTAATAGAGAAAAAGCTAGCCAATGCCAGCCTTGGATTGCAGGGGCCCCCAACAGGCCCACCAACTTTATTGGGTCATTATTGTAATTTTGTCTAAAATCCAAAATTTATTTAGTTAGAATATTTGTATCTTTTTTTAAATTCGGATTCCCTTATAATACTGGTAGCTTTTTTTTTTCATAACTGGGTGTCAACAGACTCAACACCAGTTTATGCAGTCCGATTTAATAGTGGTGGTGGTTAGTTAGATAACGACAATTATTTAGGGTTTAAAAATATAATTATTTCATAAAAGCAACAAAAAGGGGTTTCTATAATTATATTAATTTTTAATAGTAAATAATTGAATGATGACAAGAAGTCAAAGATAATTACTGGATGATGGCTGCCTTAATTATAACTGAAATATAAATAAATATTTATTTTAAAAGAGGGAATCTAATGATGAGAAATGTCACGTGCCCCACCACAGTCCACTCTCCGAAAAATTAGTTAGTCAAGCACGTCATAGATGACCACTCTTCTACCAAAGTAAAAATATAAAGGGCGCGTTTGGTTGGGGGGTTTGTTAGGATAATCAGGTTAAACTATCTAATATTATTTGATTATTATGTTTAATTATTAAGTAATATAAGATTTTGATAATCTTTAAATATTAATAGTGATTATTGATAATAATATTGAAAATAATTTAATTATTAATTCTTATATCAATTATTGTTTAATTCTAGAGTGAGTGAGTGAACCATTAGACTATCTTCTCTTTTTCTTTTTTAATTTTTTGCCAGTTCTAGTAGTATATTTTCATTGATGGTGTATTGTCATTTCAATTCATCTTAAATTATTGTTTAAACGACTTTTTCTCACCCAAGGTTTGCCTTAATTCCCACCCGAAAAGTTTTAAAATACCACATTTTTACTCAAAGTTTATATCCCGTTATTACCCAAAGTCGATTCTAACAGTAAAAATTATCTTCGTCACAATCATTTGAACTTGCGGTCTCCTCTCTACAAAAATCATCTCACTCTTGCATCTGATTTTTCATTGATTGTCGGGCATCGTGAAACTAGGGTTTCCTATTCTTAGCTGATTTTGTTAGCAAATATTCAATCAATTACCACCATTCAATCCATCGACCTCCACTTTACAAAACCCCTTTCACCTTGACTCCTAGTAACTCACCGAACATTGGTTAAGAAAGTAAGGAGTATTTTAGGTATTAGCAAGATATGAACTTTGGGTGAAAAAGTGATATTTTGAAACTTTTTGGGTGGAAAAACTAAAAAGTCGTTTACTCAAAATATAATTTAAAAAAAAAAAAATATTACCGTAATTAACTACTTCTTAATAAGATATAATCCATATCTTAATCAACTTTTTCTCTTTCTAATTACACACCGTGGAAATTAAACAAATGATGATGATTTGATTTAATTAACTTCAATTATCATGTGTTGGTGTGGGGCCCACATAAAAAGATATCGGTAGCAAATTACATTACAGTACAGCACCAGCTCGTGATTTGAATTATTTGAATTTATTATTTATATAAACGAAAATTTTCTATTTTAGTGTAAGACTCTCCGTTTTTTCTTCTCTGAAAATCTAATAACAATAACAAGGAGGGTCTCTCTCAGGTACACTCTCTTCTCGTCTCTACAATTCTTTTCTTTTTTATTTTGTATTAATTTTTTCTGTTTTATGATTATTTCCTGTGTTCTGTATCGAAGCCAAGGCTGATCTAGGGTTTGTTTTGAATTTTTTAAAAATTAAAAAACAATAATAACAACATCAACAACACCAACAACAACAGAGAGAAAAGGTTATGGCGTCGAAGCGGATCTTGAAGGAGCTGAAGGATCTCCAGAAAGATCCTCCTACCTCTTGCAGCGCTGGTTTGTTCTCAAACTTTCTTCTTTTGAGTTGTGGTTTTCTTGATCTCGTCGTTTTTTGTTTCCGATTTGTTAAGTATTTTTTCTGATCTTGTGATGTTTCGTGTATCTGTAGATTTTATGAGCTGTTTTAAAAGATTTATGTAACCTTGTGTGTATGTCACAATTTTTTAGAGAAAAAATGGTGTTTTAAGATATTATCTGTTGCAGATAAAGAAGAATTGTTGATATGCTGTAATTTTTTTATGTGAGAGTTGAATTTTTTTACTTTTACAGTTAGGTCTTTTTGTTTTGTTTGAAGGATTGTGTTATGCGTGTAGAGATTATTAGAATTTACGAGCTTCGAACTCTGACTCGTAGCTACAAGAAAGACGAAATTGAGGTTCAATTACATTTTGTATGGATATACTTTTTGTATAAACTCCAGTCATTGTTTGGCTGCTAGATTGAGGATACAGATGGAAACGGAATGGTTTTATTTTCCTAAATGTGGCATGTAGAAAACAAAAGAAATCATAAAATCCGATATCAATTCTTCTGCTGTTTTACTATATGATACAAAAATATTTGCCATCATATTTTTTTTTTCCTTGACACTTTATGTTTAGAAAAAGGCAAAAATTGAAATCAAAAGTGTCCTCTTTCAACTTCCTTGTGTGCAATAGCTTAGGCAGTCTGATTTTCTTTTGTTTCTTTTTTGTGTATATCTGCAGGCCCTGTTGCTGAAGACATGTTCCATTGGCAAGCAACAATTATGGGTCCTCCTGATAGTCCATACGCTGGGGGAGTGTTTCTAGTCACAATTCATTTTCCTCCAGACTATCCATTTAAGCCACCTAAGGTAATTATTACACATTGATTGTTGGAATCACAAATTTGTAATTAGTTTTCTTTGTTGCTTGTGCTATGTTGTGTAACTTCCTTGTGAAGGGTGAAGCTCTCTACTTTTTGTTTTTATCATTTTAGCCTGTTTTTAGTGTCAACTTGCAGATGGGTGTTCCAATCCATCCATCATAGTTTTAGATCTCAACATGTAATTAGCATCAAAATTTGAAGCCTTGATAGTTGATGTCAATAAGGTACATTCACTTGCTTTTTGAGCTAGAAAAGGAGTAAATTGACGTGAAGTCCTACTGTAGCTCAGCAAGTGTGTTATACATGATATCCCGCTAAAGTTTGGTAGTTTTCATTTAGAAATTCAGAGCATCACTTCATGTTATAATTGAGTATTACTATTCATGTTTTCGTTTCAGTTTCCAAAGGTGGTTCTCATTAGATGGGTATTTGGTTTGTCTTGCGGCAGTTGCTAGTTAGTTTACTAAATGGAATATACATATATTTAATCTTCTTTTGGAGTCTAGATTTACTTCTAATCTAATGTGCTTTGGAGTTAGAACCAAATGATTGATTGTGTGAGGCTACCATTTATTGTATAGCCGGGTCTGGCATTTCATTACGATGGTTTCTTTTTTATCAGCTTATGATTTAAATTTTGAAACTTGTTTGCTTTTAGAAGATGATTAATGTATTTCATGAGACCAGGATCCTCTGTCACCCTTAAGCTGTTGACCTTTCTTTCTTATAAGTTTTTTCTCATTGCTAACTGTACTGGAACTTCACTGTTATGTATTACTCACTGTGTGAAATTTCAGTACTTCTAACAAAAAGACCAAAAACAATTCAAGGTCAAGGAAAAATAGCTTCGACTCTGGGTTCAACAACAATATACCATAGACCATTCTTGAGGATTTGGGCTTTACTTGTCATGACACATATATGCTTTCAAACAGACATTTCCCACTACCAAAATATCCATCTCCCTTTATGTACTCTTTGAAACTGAAATTTCCCTCAACCAAAATGGCCATCTCCAAAATGTGCCCCACTTTTTGAGAAGGTACCTCAGGCTTCCTCAATAGGTGAGAGCTAATGAAAATTGCAGTTCTTTTTCAACTAACTCTCTCTTGCCTGTTTTATGTGATAAATTGAGCAGGTTGCATTCAGGACAAAGGTCTTTCATCCTAATATCAACAGCAATGGTAGCATTTGCCTTGATATATTAAAGGAGCAATGGAGCCCTGCCCTCACCATATCCAAGGTAATTAACTCCTGTTTGCTTTGAAAGTTTATGTTTGTCCTACCAACAAAATTGTAATATACAAAACACATAACTTTTAAATTACCTATGATCAATAGACCTGAATCGAAGTTTAGTTTCGGCTAGTAAATGATTCTTATTTGTTTACTTGTAGGTGTTGCTTTCGATTTGCTCACTGTTAACTGACCCAAATCCTGATGACCCGTTGGTGCCGGAGATTGCCCATATGTACAAGACTGACCGGAGCAAGTATGAGACAACTGCTAGGAGCTGGACCCAGAAGTACGCGATGGGCTAGTTTGGTGCTGGTGTGTGTAATGGGAGGGCTTCTTTCCCTAAAGGCTTTGGTCTTTAAACTATTATGATGTATGAATGAAGAAGTTTGACATGTCTCCCTCTTGTACGTGGGACCATAAGAAAGAGTTGTGAATTCAGTCCTCCTAAAAACACATTTACTGCTTTTAATTGTTTGTATGGAAATTATCTTTCATACTTGAATGTATGCTATTCTCAAAATCCTGCTCTCTTTCCTCCCCCATTTATATAGTTTTCTAATTAAGAAGCTTCTTCGAAACCTTACGCACATTTTTTTACCATGTAATGAGTGGGATCTAATTCTTAAACTACCTGTTAAATTTGCAGCCCCACATCACCCAATTCGCTCATAACACGCAAAAGTAGCTGTAAGGCTCTGTACAAAACTAGCAATCTATGGTTGTACTGTGTTGACTCTAGACATTTTCGTGGCCTAGTAGTATCATTTCATGCCTGAAAGCTTGAGATGAAAAAAATAAATAAATAAAGAAAAAGAAAATTCTTGACCCCCTGTAGCTCTTTGAAAGCCCCTTATTTCAATTTTACAAAAATTAATGATATATTTTAAATTCAAAACTTCAAAAAGGATAATCAAAACACAAAGTTACAAACTACGAATGGAGGAATCACTCCCGAGTAATTGAGTGGTTGGACACTTGGACAAGAACTTTTAAGTGTATTACTCAAGAGGTTTTGAATTCGAGTCACCTCAGTTGCTAATAATGTTGGCCACTAGAGGGTATATCCGGTCCTTAACTTCAAGGTCCCATGGATACTCTCAGTTATGAAAAAAAAAAAAAACCAAACTAGGACGAAGAAAAACTCTTATTGGGATATGAGAGTTACAGCTAAATCACCAACATAGCTGCTGTAAGACACGCTGTAAGTCAAATTTAATCTTCAATGTTACCAATGATTCACAAGTCTGAAGGCAGCCCGATGACCCAAATGAATAAATATTGAGATCACAATCTCTATTCTATTCATTCAAGCTCGTCAATGTCTTGCTTAGCCACGACGTTAATATATTTATGAAGTATATAATCATCAATAAGAAGGAAGCCAAAGACACTTCTTCTTTGTTGACCTATCCTGAGACCTTAATACCCAGTTGAATGTTGGAAAAAATAATCTTTGAATTTATCATTTGATCCTGAGACCTTAATACCCAGTTGAATGTTGGAAAAAATAATCTTTGAATTTATCATTTGATTGTATGAATATATAGTTATAGACCATCTTGTTTCTACTATATATTAAACGGAACCCTTATAAAGATTGAAGATGTGTGTTTCAACCAAATAAAATTACATATAAAAGCAATTAGTTTTTAAAATAAATTTTACATAAAAATAGGGTTTATAAAGAGATTAATAGGTTTAAATAACACACTCGAAAATGAAATTCAAGTCTTTCAATAGATATTCCTAGCCCAACCCAGCCCACTTGATGACTAGCTGTAGACAATTGCCACAGGCCCATTCTTGCATCTAAATAAATGTAACAACCACAAATAAGTAGAACTCATCCTTAAAAATCAACTTATAAGGGGAGGGAGCCCATATGATTATTAACCCACGTGCGAAACTACGTGAGACTCAATTTAGGATCGTTACAATAAACATATGTTGGTCATAGTCCCTGTCACTCTTACTCTTAATTTTCTTTGAGTTGATATATCATCTAAGAGGAAAAATAGAGTGGATTTTATGTACAACCGTTTGGTTTGTGTCCGGATGACAAGACCTTAGATTATCCAAATCTTGTATTTGAGTCTCACTAAGTAGTCAATTATCATATTTGTAACTAATTTAGCCATTACACTTATAAGGTGTTAAATAAATTTTAAAGATTAATTAAGGTACACGCAAGCTAATTGGAATACCCTGATCATCACAAAAAAAATAAAAAAATAAATAAAAAAAATTTATCACATGATAAAAATTGTCCATTTTTGGTTATTTACACCCATTCTATCATGTGATTTGTGATTTGAACAAAGATGACAATATATTAGCAATTCTCTTATGCATATACTGATTTATTTTCATTTTATTTTAAAATGTTGACCAGGGATACATAGGTGTGTTTGTTTTAGTATTTTAGATAGTATTTTTGATATTTTTAGAGTTGGGTGGGAATAACGAGATAGGATTTGAAAATTAACAAAACACCCTCATAGATTTGTTGATTTACAAACACTCATAGATTTGTTAATTTACAAACACCCATGTAATAAAAATTAAAAATTAAAAATTACAAAAACACCCCCATCCACCCATTAGATACTAGCAGCCAGCCACCACTGTCGGAGGATCGTTAGAGTCGCCGTATCGATGCATGACTGACTGGATTTGGCCGGTCGTGCTTCGAGATGGCCTTTTCTAGCCAGATCCACGATGGATCTAGCCATAAAAGGTCAGATCTTACCATGTTTGGTCATCAACGACGACCAAAGATATGGCTGTCATTGACAACCAACTACGGCCAAATATCTGATCGAAAAATGATAGATCGGTGCACTACCGACAAGATCCAGCTAGTAGTGCACTATTATATCTTATTTTGGCCATCTTCTGATGGTAATGGTTAAAATCTGGCAAACATGGATAGGTGGGGGTATTTTTATTAATTTTTAAACTTTTTTTTTTGGTATTTTGTTAAATTAATAAATTTAAGGGTACTAAAAGTAATTGAATAAAAATATAATGGTATTTTCATAATAATGTACAAACAGTTATTTTTCAATGATAGAAAATAGGAAACCAATCACATGTTTCTTACTAGTTTTGAAGGTTCTGAAAACAAAAGTAAAATGACCCCGCATAAAACAAAAAGACATTAAAGTTATTTGGATTGTCTAAAATTTTTTATCGGAAATCAAGAATTGAAGGGGACCAATTGAGTTCTTATTAGAAAAATAGCAGTACAAAAAAAAAGCTTGAAAAACAATGGTGGACCAATCATAGGCCCCATATCGGTTTTCCCCAGCCGCCTACATTACTCATTTTCTCGTTTCTCTCTTCTCAGTTCTCATTGTTGGGAATATTAATTTAAACAATTTATTTTTAACCAACCACAAAAAGATTTCACTTTTCTTTTGAGCTGAGAAAATTAAATTAAATAAAAGGTTTTTATTGGCTTCGTTGATCATCCAATCAACCCAGAAAGCAAACACTGATAGCAACAACTCAATCTGACAGATTTGAACCTCATTATCTAAATTTATTACCAAACCAAGTGTTAATTAATTAAACAAACCCATTTTTTCTCTTTCTCCTGCAGAAATAACCCTGCAGAAATCATCCAAAATGTGTCCAACATTTTCTTTCCATTAGGCCTGAAAATAAATAGCACAGCACACTGTTTTTCTTTCAGTTCATGAATAATCACAGTCAAACATCTACTGGCGATTCATTAATTAATTATATAATATTAATTCATGGTCAAGAAGAAGAACCGTACCCTGTTTGTTTCAGAGGAAAATATTATATAATTGGGGTTTTTGTTGTTTCCCATAAGAGAAAATCAAATGAATAAAGCTGAGTTGTATCCGAGTAGTAAGTTTGAAGAAGAAATATAATTTAAATTATCTTTCTGCTACGGGGAACCGTGTGCTATGTCCTTTTATGTCTAACAACGTTGCATTTGGAGTGTATTTAAAGTATACATCTTTTGACACTTTACACAGAGATTTTGTTAATTAAAAATTGCACGTGTAAACCCTTAACCCATGATTAAACATGGAGTCGTGCATACAAGTTGGAAAGGAGTCCCCAGAAAATCTGGGTTTATGATTTTAATCTTCCATTAATTGAATCTAATCAAACTCTTTATTAATCTCTCTTTGTCTCTTAATGAAGACAAACTGTGACAATTACAAGCTCACCTCCACTCAGTGGATAACGTGACCATTGTCGAGAGAGAGAGTCGATTAAACTCAATTTAATCATTTTATTAATTTATTTCTCTTAATTAACTTAAACTGCAGGTATAATGTGCATTAAAAAAAAGGTGAAAACGTGGTGAAATAGGGTAATTAAAAATCACAACTTATTGTGTACAAAATAAGGAAAAGAAGCATTAATGGTGGGTAGAAAAAAAAAGGCATTAAATAGAGACCCATAAAAGCTCTGATCAACATAAATTCTAAACGGGATTTTTTGGTCGCCATAATGTGGGCTATCTAAAACCCTCAATTTCAGGCCCTTTGAGTTACTTTTCAAGTACAACCCACCATTTTTTTTGCACACAAAAACCACTTTTCCTTTTTCTTTTAAAAAAGACTATTTCCACGAAGTTTCAGCTTCAACCAAACAGACATTGATAAACGGAAGCCACGTCACCGTCACATTAAACCACCCACCTACACCTGTCGGTTCTTACCGCTCGAAAAGCGTGACCGGCGCCCGTTACGGACTGACTGTTTGAATTGAACGGTGGTGGTGTTTCTAAATGGGACCCACCCAGTCTCTCAGCGGTCACTCACTTTTCTACGACCACGAATTCCGAGACAGTACCCGTACAGTTTTCTTTTAATTATGATTCAAATTAAACAACCCTCTTAATTATTTTTCTAATCTCTCTTGACCACACATCATAATATCAGCCATAAAATTCAAAAATAATATCTCTTATAATAACTAGAGTATTTAATAAAATACAAACTATTGCATCAGCAGTGATGACACAAGCATTAATTATTAGTTTAAAATTATTATTTTTGGTAAAACACAAACAATGTTCCATAAACAATATGATTAAGCAATAATAAAAGAAAACTGAAAAAACGAAGTACGTATGGGTCACAGTGCCAGTTGACTTACTTAGCATCAAACCCATATAGAAGCATATGGTTACAAAAAAGTAATAACAACAATGATCGAATTTGTGGGCTCAAAGTTCTTCTTCTAGGAGACGATGCTCATTTTGACTTAAACAAAATGTTTAAACCCAAAACCCCACCCCACTATTTGCATTAAGAAAATGATAGAAATTTCGTAGTTAGACACCCTAAATTATTTAATTAAATTTAAATTCGGCCAAGACCTCTTTGGGACTTTGTCGGTTCTCATGTATTTTTATGCATGTTATTATATCTTTGTTCTCATACGACTCGTTATTAAGTGGGACTTACTTAATCCCAGAAACTAACATACACTTATTTCTTGTCTCTTTTACTTTCTTAAATCTTTTTTTTT